ATTTGGTCATTTTTGGAAATTTTTGTCAATTTTGGCAAATTTGGATGTATTCAAGGTGTTTGAACTGTGTTTTGATAAATTTTAGGTATTTTGGCAGAATTTAGGAATTTTAGCCAAATTTGGGTCCCATGGGCAATTAAGTAATTTAGGGGTGCCTAGGGGCAAAAGGCCAAGTTGGGCATTTCAAGTGCAATTGGGTAGAGAACCATTCTGAATGAATCATAGACCAATGTATTGTGAAGATATGGTGTACCCTAGTTCCAAGTCAACACCCAGGGTCAATCCTAAGGCCAAGTAGCCCTATAGGAACTCTTCTTGAGCTTCCCCCATAAAGAACCTACCAAATATTAGAGGTTAGGACCAATATGTGGAACTTCAAGTTGAGTAAAGAGAAGATTTTTGAGTTTCTAATGGTGATGGTACCCTTTCTAGTTTTCTAAGACTAGTTTATAGGAAAATCCTATGGTTAGACCTAGGTTACTAAAGAAATTTCTAGACCTCAACCAAAAGTGAGGTCAACAAGGACACATGGGATCTTTGTAACCTGGTGGTTGATGCATATAGAATATTTCCTATAGTTGACCATGGAAAAAACCATTTGATATATCCATTTGAAATACTTTCCATTGATAATAATGAGTAAGAATAAGAAATAGTATGATTGTGGGTATTTTGGCCACTTGACTGAACGTATCTATGTAGTTGAGTCATTATTCTTGTTGATAACCCAGAGCAACTAGTCTAGCTTTATACCAAGCCATTAAACCATTTGTGTTTTGTTTGATTTTTTTGGTCCACTTAATGTTAAGTAACGATTGATCAACAAGTGAGGGAACTAGTTTCAAGGTGTTTTGCTTTGTTGAGCACAAAGTTCCTCTCCCACTGCTTTCTGTTAGTGAGGATGCTTGGCAGCTTGCTTGTAAGTTGTAGGTTTGGTTTGAGCTGGTAGAACATGTGAAAATTAGAGATTTTCTTAGCGGTTAGTGAACTTATTTGAGACCTTGTGACCATAGGATGTTTATATGGTACTGATTTATGAGATGGGTTTAAGGGAACAAAAAGGTTTTCAATTGAAGGGCTTTCTGAGAGAGGAGGTTCTGCTGGTGTGAATTCTTGGTCAGTTGGAATTATGGGATTCACAACTTGTAATAATGCTGGGATGGGTGTTGGAATTGGGTTAGGTAGTGGGCTGACCTGAAGTTGAGAGATGGAGTTGGATAATATAGTGGATGTGGGTAAGAGAGTTAGTGGAGTTTTGGGTAATAGGTTTGGTTTGTCTTGCTTGTTTAGAAGGATAAATAGTTTCATTGAAAGAAACATGTATAAAGAAGCACTTGTATCCTTTGACATGAGATGGATAACCAAGAAACACACAATTTATGGATCATTTTTGAAGTTTATTTCTACTAATTGATGGTAAACAAGGAAAATATTGACACCCATATGATTTTAGATGACTATAATAAAGTATGGAACCATAAAGAAGTTGATATGGAGACTTGTTAAATATTACTTTTGAGGGTAAACGACTAATTAAATAAGTTGCTACTAGTATTGTCTCAAGCCAAAGAGATGGAAGTACATTGGAATCAGCTGGCAAAAGTCTAGTGGTTTCCATTATATGGCGTTGTTTCCTTACAACAATTCCATTTTGTTGAGGAGTACATCTTTTTTGAATAATTCCATAAGTAGCTAGTAAATTTTTGAATTGTTGACTAGTGCATTCCCCATCATTGTCGGTCCTGATGAATTTCATTCTTTAATTAAACTGAAGTTCCACTTCTTGTTTGAATTTGAGAAAATGTTAAATTACTTCAGATTTAGTTATCATGGGATAAAGCAATGCATACCTAGTAAAGTCATCGAAAAATAACACATAATATCAGTAGTCTTGATTAGAAACAATTAGAAATGACCCTATACATCTGTATGTATTAATGCTTATGGCTTACATTGAGTGCTATAAGGCTTATCACAAGGAATGCGATGACATTTTGCAGTAGTACAAGATGTGCAAAAAGCAAAATGATTAGGACTATGTAGATTTGGTTGTTGCCTGGCTATGAGTTGTATAGTCAGTTGATTAGCAAGTTCTAGCTTCTTATGCCATTGCTCTGGATTAAGAACAATTGATGCAAGAGCATGTGCATTAGTAGAAACTCGATACATCCATTATTGCAAGGACGCTGAAGAATATTTTAATGGGTAGTTCAATCCTTTATTTTACATTCATTAACATAAAAAATAATCATACAGTTATTATTGTGAGCTAGTTGGGATATAGATATAAAGTTATATGAAATTTGAAGGGTTTGAAATAATGTGGAGAGAATTAGCTTATGATTGGGAGTAGGTAGTATGTCATTCCCTGAATGTTGAATGGACACATTGCTGCGATTGCCAACCATCACACTCTCATTACCTTGATATGGTTCAAGTGAATGCAGTTGATTGTAATTAGCAGTCAGATGAGAAGTAGCTCTGGTATCTAGATACCAATCAAATTTAATTGAAGGATTGAAGGAGATGGCCTAAGTCGTATGTAAGGTAGAAGCAACCAGAGCAGTAGAGTTCGTGGCTTGGTAGTTGACATTTAGTATGTGTCAACAATTAGGAGCTTTATGTTTGATTTATTGCATATTTAATAGATGAAGGATTCTATTTCTTTTTTTCCGAAATAGTTGAAACATATTGAACACTTTTCATTGATTGATTGACATTACTACATTTGCCTTTATAAAATCTGTTCTTCCCTTTGTGAGAAAATATTGATCAGGATCAAAATTTTCTAATTAAAACTCAGATGAAAGATTGATTTCCTCACTAAATACTAGGGCATACATATTTTCAAGACTTATGGGGCGGGTCCTTATAGCAGTCTTGAATGCTTGATAGGAGTTTGGCAAACCTTTCAGAATATATAGTATAACATCTTTGGTATCTATCTTAGAGTCAGCAGCTGATATAATATCAACTAGTTTTTAATTTGCATCAAATATTGACTCATTGTTAGATTTCACATCGACACATTGTGCAATTCATTCTTTAACTGTATGACCCGAGAATGATTGATTGCTTGCAATCATTTCTTCAAAACAGTTCAGATGGCAGACATTGTGGAATTTAGAGCAGCTGTCACTTCGTATAACCAGGGTTTACCAAAGGTATACCTGTGTCGACGATAATCTGTGGCGTGGGAAGAGGTAAGCTGCCATCAAGAAAGCCCACAGACCCATTGGCTTTTATAATCTTGATCATTTGGGATCTCCAAAATTAGTAAGTATCTGCAGACGGTACGATTATAACCACATATTTCAGATTAGTCATCATGAACTTCAGTGAGGGAGGAATAGGTGTCTCGGTAATGTTGAGAGTAGCCAATCCTTCTAAGATCTGAGGAGTTCCAATATTTTTTAGATCAGGTTTGGCAGTCAAGACAAAGGGACGTCTAATATTTTTCTCAGAATCAGCACCTTTGGTCAACAGCAATTATTGTTTTTCGATAGCGGGGTGATTTTGGAGTGAAGCGTAAGGCTACCTTTCTATCTGATTACGCATCTGCTCTGTCAAGCCGGCGATGTGGAGATTTCTCCTTGCATCCCTGCTCATCGCCTTCTCTATCTCCGCCGCCGCCTCTGCCTCTTCATCTCAACCCATCCTTTCACCGGGAGAAGAGTGGGCGAACGAGCAGCTCCGTCATGGTGCCATTTCTGGGGAAATCTGCCCTTCGCCGGATCCCTCACTCTATTACCAGCCGGTGATCGGTATCGTCACTCACCCCGGAGATGGCGCCACCGGGAGGCTCAGCAACTCTACCGACGCCTCCAACATCCCGGCCTCTTACGTCAAGTTCATCGAGTCCGCCGGCGCTCGCGTCATTCCTCTTATTTACAACGAGCCTTGGGATATCATCTCCGACGTGAGTTTCTCAAGTCCATCTCCTCTCCTTTTTTTCATTCCCCCTTAGCATCTGATTCATTCAATTATCAAGTAGAATGCTGTTTCTTAATTGTGTTCGTGAACGGGTCTATGATGCATTTATTGGTTTTATTTGTTTGATGTTGAAAAATTTGCGTTAGTTGCATATTTTCTGTAGAAACTCGAGCTGGTGAATGGCATCCTGTTTACAGGGGGATGGGCTAAAGAGGGCTTGTATTTTGAGACAGTAAAGAAGGTTTTTGAGGTAACTTTACTATTTTATTTTGATAATTGTCCAAGAAATATGTCATTTTTGAAGTTTAAAGAGGATTTCCTGCACTGCCTCCATCATCTATAGTTGCTGCTTTTGATCATGCTCATATTCTGTCAACACTGTTCGCTAAATTTGTTGCTATTGTTTTTGACGCTGTTTAGCCAAAAAAAAAAAACATATGTTGGCATGCTTCACTTGCTTCGTTCTTCAGCATGATGCTTGGATGTTACAGATTTATGCTGGTAAGATGGCCATAGTTTTTAGATAGTTCCTCATCCTCTTGTTTACAATTCACTGACATTGTTCCCTAAATGGTTGATATTAGGCTAATAAACTTCTGAAATTTGTGTACAAAATAAATGTAGGAATCCAAAGTAGATGTTTTTTTAGGGTATTCTCAGAAGAGAAAGTGCATTGATTATGATGAAAGTAGGCAAAAGTTGGCTAATATGTCACCTGCAAGCGAATTCATTAGTTTATCCAACTGTAGAGAAAAAAAAAAACGGACATGGGTATTTTATCATTAGTTTATCCAACTGTAGAGAAAAAAAAAAACGGACATGGGTATTTTAACAAGTTAAAATTATCTTCACTGTGTAAAATTTGTAGAGACGATGCTTAGAAAAGCACACGAGTATTACATGTTTACAAGAATTTGTACACCCAATGCTTATAAAAGCACGTGTATAACATATTTACAAGAAATCTAGTAGAAAGTGGAAATTCCATTGACCTTGGGTTTATAAGCTATTCAATGTCAAGCAATTTTTTTAATGTGAATGGAGTAGAGATAATAGTGGATATTGGAAAGACACAATGCTTATGAAAGCACTTAAGTACATATTTACAAGAAATCTAATAGAAAGTGGAAATTTCAAAGACGTTGGGTATTTTTATAAGCCATTCTATGTCATGTAAATTTTATGATGTGAATGGAGTAGAGAGAATAGTGGATAGGGATTGGAAAGTTAAAATTGTTGAAGTAAATAAGTTTACTGATTGATTATTATAAATTTAGCTGTTTGTGATGACATCATTAATGTAACGAGTGCTTATTCTTCCCAAGTTTGGTTACAAGATTTTGAAAAATCAAATTTTGAAGAGATCATCAAACTGTCACCTATATTTATGTGGAAGAAAAGATAATTGTTAGTGGTAAGTTAAAGTATCTATTTATAATCGAATGGGCTCGAAGCTTCATGATTTGTATGGAATCGGTGATAGAACTATAGTAGTAAAAGCTGTACCTGATTCAACGGTAATAGATAATCTTGCAATAACAATTATATAATATAAGAAACAAGACTAATAGTATGTTTCTTTTAAGTATGGTGCAAGAAAGGAAAGAATATATTATTTTCTTACTTGAAAGAATGAAAAGTTTGTTTTCCAAATATTTTAATGGCTCTTTTAGGAAGTTTGACAAGTCAACCTGCAACTGTAATCATGCATGTATATTATAGAATTATAACAACAATCAAAAGAAATTGAATTCAACCAACGAGTCACCATAATAGGATCAGACCAACAACATTTGAGCAGGCAAAGATGGAATAGGATTGCTAATCAGTATTCTTATGTGATACAAGAAACTATTATTTCCTTAACTTCTAGTAGTCTCTCTCTCTCTCATATTTTATAGAAAATTTCAATCGACCTTTGAATAACATCCATTTATATAAAACAGTGTTGGTCGTATAAAAAATAATAGAAACATGAAGACATTAATCACTAGAAATCATAACTTTCAGTTTGTAAATTACAATGACACTATTTTGATTACGACATCAACTTCGTACATTTTTGGCACCAAATTAACAACGTAATTGCTCTATAGCAATCTTTTTGGTCATGAAGTTACGTGACTCTCAAGCTAGCTTCTGTTTAAGATATATTTTGTGTTTCTCTCAGCTTTATCAAATTTTCTCATTTTCGACAAATTTCTTTCAACAACATACCAACCAGCTCAGTTTTCCTATTGATAATATGGAGAAACACTCAAAAGTCCTCTTCTTAGCTTGTTATTCGCATGCCTTCTCATTGAGTCACAACTTTTTTTATTATGCTCCAACTTTTTAAAAGATTAGTTATGTCATTTTACTTAAGAGACAATAAGTCTTATTTTTTTCCTAATTTGATAAACAACTTATTTTTGGTACAGGTTGTTCTGTTTCTTTTCTTAAATAGGTGATCTATTGGCTTGGGGCTAGGTCAACAAGAGGAAGCAAGGATTTTTTTTAATTCATCATCTCGCATTGAAGGGTTGAATTATTTTAGATTTTCTACGTTCGCCTAGACTTTGATGACGACAACTACAGGCAACTAGTATGAGTTGTCGCTAATTTTCTTCAAAATCTTGAACAAAGCATCCGTAATTAGTTCGATTTTTCCCTACATGAGATACACCTTTTAAAATTTTTCTACTCACTATTAGTCATGCCAACATTTATAACTTTGCTGAGGCTTGGCGAGTGGTCTTGTAATTTTATTTTGATTCTCTTTAGGAATCTCTATATCCTTCTGAGTCATTCTTCCCTTTTCTCAAGGATCGTTGATATAATCAAGAACTCCCTAGTTAAAAGGATTTTGAGGCAAACATCACATGCATGCCTGATTGGAGCTTACTTAATTGAATTGTGAATGACCTTGCTGAATGTAAATTGGATATACTACAATATTTCATCCAATGTCTTAGGGTTTCGCGAGTTAAATCTTCTAATAGAGACACAACATATTTATTGAATACGTCAGCCTGGGTGTGTTTTGTGGGTGGAAATTTGTACTTTTTATGCTCCTCTTCTAAGTACTATTTATCATAGCTCTGTCTAAGGTGACTGAGCTTTGTAAACAGAAATACACCCAAATAATATTGAAAAGAGAGATGTTGCTACTTCTCCCATTATATTCTATTTATACTTTCTAGGTACCGTTAACTTATAGAACCTATCCAGCACAACAAAATCATGGTAATGACGCTACGAGTATTAGGAGTCCTAGTACAGCAATGTACTACTCATTAACAATCTTGTCAGTCATGGACTTGCTCGACTATTAGGCTAGTGTTTTCCCTAGACCTTTCTTGAGCTCATCCAGCCTAGCCTTCCTTTTTAGTTTGACACATTTCTCTTAACAACAAACCTTCCCTCTTGGGAATTCTCTTGGTAACATTCTAAGCACACCTTGGAAGTCCAATTCTTAGCTTCTAGGTCTTCTCAGCTTGTCCTTCACAAGTCTTCTCTCTGAGCCACTTACCTCCTGGTCAAGGGATGAGTTGAATGTGCACTTCTTATACTTCATAATTTCTTTGCAAAACTTCACCAAGTAATACCCTACACAATGAGCATGAGAGATGATTAGCACTTTAGGCATAACTATATAATTTTCTTTTTTACAAATTTAGCACAATTACAATTAAAAAATGATTCACCAATCTTAAATTCAAAGCTCAAGTAACTAACTAAATAAAGTAAAGTGCAAGAATATTGATAGCTATGGAGCAAATTAGTTACAATTGATTTTTAAACGATTTAACCATCCAACTGACTTACGTTCATGTCTAAGCCATCCACCGACTTAGGATTCTCGCTGTCCTGAACTTTGGCGCCACAAGTGCACATCTTTGCTCGTGTAGAAGCATTTTCCCATCACTCCTTTGCGCAAGAATAACCCAGCCATCTAATTTTAATGCCTGGGCTACCCACTCTATAACACGAGAATTAATGAACCCTAAGTTTTCTGGAAATTTTTATATGAACTAATGACTATAATTTTACAAAACTAATATAATTTCTCTTTTAATACTAGAGTAATTTACAATTTAAAATGAAACTTACTACAATCCTATGATACTGAAATGGGAAAGTTTTTTCCACAATGGAAGCCTCCAAGGATTTGCAAAGGTTGGATGAACCTCATACAACTCCTTGAAAACCCTCCAATTGATTTTACAATGAAGGTTCTAGAGATACAAGATTTTTAGACTTAGACCAAATATTAAACCCGCGGAAAGAAATGTTCAACTAGGATCTACTTATGGTTCAATCGTGATGATGTAAATATTATTAAAATAATCTAAATGATGTAAAAATTCTAATAGTGATGTTAAGTGATGATATGTATGAATATAACATTATATCTCCATTTCATTTCTACTCAAATCAACTCAACCAATTGTGAATTAAGAGTTGAGTGTTTTGATTGGTAGTTTTTAAGGGGGGTTGATCTCAATTTTTTATTAATTTGATTCTTAATTAGTTTGAACTGATATGAGGGCCGACTCACAGTCTAACTAGTTCAATTACTCGATTCAATCCAAATTTTTACAATCATGAAAAAATCATAAATTTATTGGATTATTAAACTCAAATATGTGTTACATATAAGCCCTATATCTCTTAATTTATCTATTAAAAATTCTTTAAAATTTTCCATGATTTTTTCCCTTAAAGTAGCCTTCCAATGACTAACAAAGCACTCCTCATGTGGGAACCCTCAACATAGTTGCAATAGACTATGGAGGAAACAACTAATATTTAAAAAAATAATAATTTTTTATTTTTTAATAAAAAAATATATCATATAATACATGATATTATATTTAAAATCTTAGGAATAGTTTAATGAAATAGAAATTAATCCCAAATTATTAAGTGTATCATAAATGTTTCTATAAAAATATTTATTACGTAGTTATCGTGAAGTTAAGTTTTAAATATGCTCTTTCTTTTGTGTAAAAATAGAAATGAGTTTGTAAGCTGCCATAAAATTTTGAAATATCTATAAAAATTTTTAAAAATTCATAATATATATACTAGTTATTCTTGGTATAATTAAGCATTTAAGCTCATATAAATTTTTATTAATATTTTAATTAATTCCAAATAGTTTTTTACACAATGATTACTGATTGGTATAAATTATAAAAACAATGAATATTAATAAATCAAACAAACAAAAAAATAAATCTAAATAAATTGTCAAAGAAATATAATTTAATTGAATTTTACTGTGTATTAATCTTTTTTAAGACTTTGGTAAAAACCAAACTCAATCAAATACATTTAATATAAGTAGAGCATAATCACTGAACTCCTCTTACCCTTGGAGCTTTAGATGTTCATTTGAGTATTCTTATCTTCTAAACAGTTCTTATCAAAGTGACAAATCCTTCTGGTTGCCTTGTGAAACATGAAATTCATTCTGAGATTTGCTATAAAATAATTAACTATGAACAATCACTTAATAAAATATTAGATAATACTATGCAGGATTTGTTATTGCCAAATTAATCATGAGATACATATGAGCCACATGGGCACAAGAAGTTACCAAATACCTCATGCGGTATTGAACAAGAATCGAGAATGATGATTCATAATACCAACTTTAAATGATTAATAGAATGCTATGGTGGGGGTATGAACCAAAGGAGGACTGAAGTTGGGCCAGACTCATAAAGTTCAATTCCATTTTCAACCCAAAACCTTAAGCTTAGTGACGGCCAACTATTTGGTATTTTTACATTTATCTAATCCAAGACTTGAAGTAAAAGTTTCATGTGCTTTAACACTATGCCCCCCCTCATGTGAGAGCTCTCCACTTCAGCATCATTCCTTTTCAAACTGAACTTTATTAAGTTCATGCATTAAGAACCCACTCAACCATTTGCATCCTACATTGTAGTCACCCTCCCCTGAAGTTACCCCCTCTTTAACTTTGCCAACTATGGTGGATGATAAACTAGACTCATGAGAACCACAAACCACATCAATAGCTTAAACCAATCAATCCTAGTTAAACTATTGACTATAATATCACTTATTAAGGAGAATAAACTAAGAAGAACTGAAGGTAGGCCAAATACACGTGGTCAAACCCACTTTCAGAAAGCTTAAGCCTATGGGCGAGACTCGCCATGTGGTATTTCAGTACTAATATATTTTTCAACTATCTAATGTGGGATTAAATTAAAAGGTTTCAAGTATATGCTAATGATAGTTTTGATAATGATTCTCTTTTGAATATTTCTTTTCTATTACTTATCTATGATGAATGTGAAATCTGTTATTATATTTCTATGTAATGCATAAGAAAAAGGAGCAGCTAAGCACATGCATAATAGTTTTTTTTTATTTTTTTTGCACTTGCTCTAGATGCATTGTCTTTTAACTTTTCATATATGACAAGAACTCATATCCCTTCAGATAGACATCCTAGGAATTATCATCAATTGTAATCTTTCTTTTCTCTGACTGTCCAGTTTACACTAGCAAGAAATGACGCTGGGGACCATTTTCCTTTATTTGCCATCTGTTTAGGATTTGAGCTGATCAGCATGATTATCAGTCAGGTTAGCCTCTATTTCAGCCATGAAATTAACACCATTCATACTTACATTGCATGCAAGTATCAATTGGATTCATACTTATCTGAGATTTTTGTCTTCTAATTGTTCAGTTATATCTTTCTAAATGTTGGTTATGTGATTGTATATTTTAGTTTCTTTGGCTTAATCCAAGGTAGTTGAATTAGTATAATTGAGAAACATCTTGTGGATAAAAGAAAAAGAAGTGGAACACAGTTAATTGTTTATGTAGACCAAAGTAAAGTTCTGTTTTTCTTAAAGGGAATAGTGCTACTTTTTTCTCATGGTTTTGTTTGGGAAATTGTACTAAACTTACTAAATCAGTTTTTGGTGAAGATAAAAAAAAAAGAGCAATTTGATGCAGTTTAAATTTGATTAGTTATATTTCATCAAATATTTCTATTCTAATTAAATAACTTATTCATGTGTTTCATTGAACATTAGCATCTTTTTCTGTCCATTCCGATATGTGACATGAGCCATTTGGGTAAATCATTTGTGTTCCTTCTCATTGTTATTTTTTATCGAGGATTTGGATTTTAGATTTTGATACAGTTCGACGTCAAAATCAGAATTTTTTTTTTCCACAGAAATTAGGGTAAACAGAACATTTTTTCAATAATTCAAACAACTCAACAAGAATACAAAGATAAACACCTACAATTTGAGAGGAAGACGATCTCTCCCAATTCCTACAATTCGAGAGGTAGGAAATCTCTCCCAAACCTAAACCTAGGACTCACAACCCAATCTCATGCATAAACCTAACTATTTACATAACAAACATATTTAATAATAATAATAATAATAAACTAAATTGCCCTAGGCATACAAATTACAAATTTGCCCTTAGGCTAGGCGCCAACTTAACAATACACCCTCCCCATCTCCAAAAAAGTCACCTTGTTCTCAAGGTGGGGAAAAGTGTGAGCGTTCCACCTCTCCCACAGCTTTCTCTATTTCTTCATTCTCTACTTCCTTGTCATGCATTATGAGAACTTGTAATCTTTGATCGTTGTATTGGTGTCATGAGATAAACTTCTCATCACACTGAAAACATAACCCATTGGTTCACTTCTCTTGAATCTCTGTCTCTGTAAGGAGCTTGAGTGTTGCTCTCGGTCGTGGTCCATTATTTGTGTCCCTTGCAACTTCCCTCTGGACTTCCATTGTTTAAGCTTCTGGTATCGTCGTGGTTATTGCGACGTTCCATCTGTGTTGCTCTTATTGGCCTTCTTCATCTGAGTTTTGTCCTCTACCATCCGAGCTAGTTCCATCGTCCCTCTCAATCCCCGCGGTCTTAATAGTCGGAGTGATGCTCGTGTGTTGGGCTTTAGACCCTTCATGAAATTTCTCTCCAATTATGCTTTAGAAATTCTCCTCAGTCATCCCGACAATAACTCAAATCTCTCTCTATATTCCATGACAGTCTCCTCCTGAGTCAAGGCATAAACTTGCTCGTGTTGGTATCATTACCGAATTGCTTGGAAACATTCCAACTAACAATCCTTGAATTTCTTCCACGAATGGATCGAGTATCCAGCCTCCCTCTAGTGAAACTAGACGAGAGCTTTCTCTTTCAAACATAACCTTGCCGCCATGAGTTCCTTCTCCCCATACCACAAAGTATCGCTCCGCTCGATACAACCAACTATGTGCCCCTTCCCCCTAAAAAATCGGCATCTTTAACTTTTTAACTCTAACATCTTCACCCCAACATCCTCTTCCTCTGTTGTTTTCCCCCATGTATCGTAGGTAAAACTCATTCCTTCAATCATAGCAATATCCCCTCTGCTTATCTCCTTTCTTCTTCTTGCTCCTCCATACTTCTTATACGATCTCTTCTTTATGTTTTGGCCCAACCCTTTCCATAAAAAATCTTTAATCTACCCCCAATTAGAGTCCTACGAGAGGGTTTGTGATGGTGGATGTTTTCTTTCTCATGTTCCTCAGGTTTCTCATGTTCCGCACTCGATCTCATTTTATTTTGATCTTACCACGGATTCTCCAATCAATCTTTGATTAAGATTTGCAAATTGAGCCGTTGGCGTGGTCTTGAATTGCATCTCAACGAGCGTGTTTAGCCTCTCTCGAATTTAGCATCTCTAGAATTTATCCTATACTGGGTCCTCTAATTGGTTCTGTTCTACTCCATAGAAAGAATCTATCCTCTTGGTGGAGAAATTTCTTCCTTCTCAGATCTGATTAGATATCTCTTCTAATTTCTTATTCAATTATTTCCTTTCACGAGCGCATTCACCATCCCGTCGCAGCCTTCCCCACAAGTTTTGATTATGACTGTATCGCAGGGTTCGTTCACGAAGGCAACGGGCAGCCTTCCAAGCCTGATTGCGACTGTATCGCAGCAAACTCTGATCGACCGTATCGCAGGGTTCAGTTTGACGGGGGATTATTGCGTGCGGACACCGCATGCATCTCTGCATGCGGTGTTCGATCCTGGCCGTAGATCACGGTGATCTACGGTCAGGATTATTTCCGTTTTTTAAAAAAAAAATAAAAACTTTTAGGTGGGGCCCACCGAAATATATCATCCGCACGCAATCCGCATGGAATAATTTTTCCAGTTTGACAGTGCGGTCCGACAAACACTCTGAACCCGTCGTTGTCTTCTGTAAGCCATAAGCACGTCGTTGCCTCCTTCTGTAAAAGCCCCGAGCCCGTCGTTGTCTTCTCTTGTAACCCCCGAGCCCGCCGTTGCCTTCCCAGATCGGTGCAATCGCGACTGTATCGCCAGTCGGTCATGTATGAGCGCCATTGCGACTGTAGTAGCCCGTCGCTTGCTTCTCCTTTGCGATTTTGTGGGCCGCGAAGCTTCCCATGACCGTTTCGGCTCTGAACGCTGCGATCCCTTCTCTTCCCGCGACTGCGACTGTAGCACGATCAGCTTCCCGAGCGTGCCTGATTCGTCCCTCCGCAGAAATTGTCGTGGCTTTCCCCGAGCTGTGTCACGCCCGCATCTTCAAGGAAATGGCAACATGGGAAGTAAAATTCTAGAAGAGGCATTCTACCGAGTTCTAGAGGTCATAGGAAGAAAATACTCCAAGAATGAAGCTTGGAGAGTTCAAGAAAAACCTAGAAGGATCTAGGATTATGTATTTATGTAAGAATTATATGGAATACTCTAGAAAGTAAGGAATTCTAGAATATTCTCATGGCTTGGAGTGGGACTATAAATAGGTGTCCCTTCGCTCATTTGTAAATTACCTAAACGTTCAATCAAAGCTTCCAAGTAATCAAGTATAAGGTGTTACTTTCTCTTTACTCTTCTTCTTAGGAGTGCTTTGTGCTCACAAGTCCAAGTATTGTGCTTGTGAGGATTAGATTGATTTGATGTTAAATGAGAGTGTTAAAGCCGCACGAGTGATTAGAGCAAAGTTAGTCCGTGGCATATGACTCGTTTTTTTTTCTTTGATTACTAAAATCAACTGCTCTAATATGAATTTGATAGATTTAAGTCAAAATCAGCTCTTTTTTCCACAAGAATTAGTGTAAACACAACATTTCTTCGATAATTCAACAACTCAACAAGAATACAAAGATAAACACCTACATTTGAAGAGGAAGACAGTCTCTCCCAATTTCTATAATTCTAGAGGTAGGAAATCTCTCATAAACCCTAAATCTATGACTGACAACTCAAGCTCATGTATAAGCCCGACGCTAGACATACCAAGCCTATTTATAACTAATAATAATAATAATAATAAAAGACTAAATTACCCTTTGACATATAAAAGATAAATTTGCCCTTAGGCACCAACGTAATAGGCTTCTACACTAAAGAAAGAAGGAAAAGGCTGAACCAAAAGGTTGGTGGCTAGCTTTGGTTGGTGATAAATGAGTCAGACATCAATGTGAAATGATAAGGTGAGATTGGTATAGTTTTATGAATAAGGCTGCTTGCCATCTTGGAAGCATAATGCTCATTCATAGATTTTGAAAAGATTTATTTCGTTCTGCAGAGGAAACACACTCTTTTGTTGTCGTCTGGAGTGAATAGCTGATTAGATCTATTGCCATTCATTTATGACTTTTTGTTTGTCTGGCTGGGATCCTTTTTTGGTGTAGATTTCGCGACTGTTCACATTTGAATATTTATTTTATACCATTAGCATTACATTATTTTGAAAACTTTCAGCTCATGGATTTAAAGTACTATGGGTCTGAGCTTGGATTTAACAATTTCTTGCTCTTACTCTAGTTTACAACATGATGTGGATCATCAAGTAGAAAAATCCAAGCAGAATGACACGTTCTATAAAATTTGCCTTCATGACTGAGTACACATGAAATATAGGCATTGTTTGATACCGGATTAACCCAAACAACAATAGGAAAACAAATATTATATCTATAAAGCCAATTAGGTGGTTACAACTCAACACTCAAAGGAAAATACAACAGAAACAAACAAACACATAGCAAGGTGGGCTGGAATGGGTAGGTTGGGGTGTAGGAAGGTAGCAGATTTAGCAGGTAAGGTTTTTAGAAGGTGAATGAGTTGTGGTAGTGCTTGGCATGGGCTAGAACATCAATAAGGAGTTGCGGGGGATTGGTTTGGGCGGCTGGAACAGCTAGGACAGCATGGGGCACAGTTGGAACAGCTGCTAGGTAGTGGCGGAGGGTGGTTAAGGGCGGTTGTAACAGCTGGGGTGACTGGGAAATGCAAGGAGGAGGGCTGAACAGAAGGTAGGTAACAACGGAGAGTGTTAGGAGCGGCTGGAATGGCTGTGGCAGTGAGGTAGGCGGATTCTAGAAGGTGGCAACGGAGGCGACTGCAGAAAAACAGCAATAGCAGCTGCAACTATGGAGGGCGACAGAGAGAGAGGTAGAGAGGACGCGGAAGGGGATCGGGATGAAAATACATACAAACCTCGAAAGGAGAAGATGGACGTCAGTGGCTGTCCTAAACAAACTAATGCCAAAAAATTGAAAATATCTAGCAAAGGAAAACATTTTCTGAGCTAACTAGGAGTGAAACCCCCTATGGAAAGGAGGCTCCAATCCACAGTGGACGGACCAATCGGCTCTCCCAGGTCTGGACCGGTTTGGTCTAGAAGACGGACGTGCCGGAAGTTTCCCGCGACTCCCGTTATGCCGGTGTCATGGTTACTCGAGAAAATACAATGATGTTGTTGGAAAATTGCTAAGTATCTTAAGGCATTAGAAGTATTGAATTTAGCAAACTTTTAACCTGATCATTTTATAGTGGAACTGAGGAACGAGCTTCAGCAGCCACTTTGAAAGTGACAACATCAGTATGTCCCTGATGGTCGGGATGCTCTCTGCTTTATGGGCTAATATTCAAATTAGTCTTTGGATGCTTACATTTCTTACTGGTTTATTCACTTCATATTTTTTTTTTACCTTATAAATCTATGATTCAGCAGACTGCATGTTTTGCATTTTTTTATTCTATTTCATTTTTTTTTACGAAGCAAGTCATAGTGTTTTTCTAGTGTGAATATAAAAATTTTTGTTTTCAAAATTATTTCCAACAGTCTTTTGGCAGAAGAGAAGCTATGCTTAGTATGCAAGGGAAAATTAAAGCACCAACAGTCTCTCTCTCTCTCTCTCTCTCTCTCTCTCTCTATATATATATATATATATATAGGGAAAATACTACCCGGTGCCCATATTCTTTTTAACCATGTTAAGGGTGGGAGGTATAATTGTAGCTTTTATGTGCTTTTAACTATTTTATCTTTGGATAGTATCTTCATTTTTTTTATCTTTTGAAAAAAATAAGTTAAAGCAATAGAATGTTGTGCTCACCATTTACAATGTTTATCTACTTTTTTGCTTCTGATTTCAGTTCAGTGATCTGTATTGTTTACTTAAGTAGGACCATGCTATATGCGAACATTTTAAGGCGCAAAATCAAGCTTCTACTCTCCAATTTGCAAACATCTCAGATATTGGAGGATCCGTTTTTGAAAGGTATCCATTCTGATTCTCCTTCTTTTGCCTTTCAGTTTTTTTAAAGTAAGGAAAACTTCATGATTCCTGTCCTGGCATAGCTGGAGCGCTGGGAAATGAAACATTGCCCCTTTGGTGAAAACTATCGGTTAAATGTGTCCCATGTTTTACTTTAAAAGCAAGCTCCCATGGCCTCTTACAGCTTGCACACAAGCCCTAGGTGATGATATTTATGGCACCTAGCATTAGTGCTCATAATGAATAGGAAGAAAAAAAGCATCAACGTTAAACTATGTTTGCTGTGTTAAACTTATAAACCAAAGAAGATATGTAAACCATTTCTTTTTGAGATTGTAGACATGGGTGTGCATTTTATCATTTTAAATGTGTTTACTAATCAAAATGAACAACTTGATTGATTCAAGTTCGTTTAAAACATTGTTAAAAATGCAAAGAAGTTTGCATTTTAAGTGTAGTACGAAGTTTTAAGGTTATGCTTCACTCTATAAAGATGCGGCTAACATCATAAAATACTTCCGAAGCATCAAAATATATGCTTTATTCTCGCGTTGGTTGGTGCATGATGCACATGTTTCACTCATTCTTGGTAAAAAAGGGAGAGTAGTTCAATGATGAGTTAATATTGTGCGTTGTTTCTCATATATCATATGTCATATTGCATGGCTTATTAATATTTAAATTAAAGTTTTACAATTTTAATTTTTCATATGATTTTTAAATAAAATAATAATATGTAATATTTCTTGCGATTCATTTGTTTTAAATAATTGAAGCATTCACTTTGTTTGTGCTACGGGCTTTAAAGCAAAAGGAATGTCTTTGCACATTGCTATGAGCTTTGCAAATGCTAACTTTGCTTAAAAATAATATGTTTTTTTTCCTTTTTTTTTTTTGTACTTAGATCAGTTGGTAGGACGTCTGCTTGTCAATTGTAAGTCCTCTCTGGTCTGGAGTTCGATTCCCCCCGAGTGTAGGGTGTGGTACTCAAATTATAGGCGCATGAGGGATGGTCGGGGCTCGTATCATAGCCTCCAACCTATATATATATAAGAAATGGCTTATATATAATTAGATCAACCACTATCCTTACACGTATACACATATCTTTTCATCAGCTGTGGCCTTTATTATTGCCATGGCAATTTTCCCCGATTGCACCTATATATACATGCATGTGCATGCATAAAAGTGCATTCACGTGTCATGTGCATGCACACATGCTTGCGGTTGGGTTATGGTTATTGAGTGTTTGCTACCTTCTGCAACAACCCATGGATGGATTTGTCCAATAACCAAGAGTTTTACTTTTTTCCTGAGAGTTTTGAGCAAATTAAATTATAAATTCACGTGCACCCATATATGGAAGCCCTCAAACCCATGAACTCTCCAGTGCAAGTTGAAGCTCTTAACTTAATAACAGTTTGATTGGTATTTTTAGGATGAGCCTCAAAATATACCCTTAGAGGCGACTGTGTGAAGAGACTATTTATTTGTAATAGTTATTGTGGAGTTGTTGCAAGAAATTTTTCTTATTATTTTGTGATTATTATTATTATTGAAAAAAAGTTGGGCAAGAGTTTTCTCACAATTTTCATACTCTAGCAAATTTGGCTATAAAAAGTTGTTTATCACCACAAAAAATTGCGAAAGCAGCAAGAAAGATATGCTGAATAACATTGTGGTCGCTGCAAAGAAAAACAATTAAAAAGCTGCCTCAAGCAGACCCTTATTTTGTACAAACTTGCCTTCCATACCAACTGGGCTCTAAACGGAATTTTGCACAACGGTTTCATCTAAAATGAGCAAGTGTGCAAGCTCTGAACCACTGCACCCTGATTGCGCATGTGTGCATGCTTTTTGTTGCTGTGTATATCATCTTCTATGTTGTGCATTCTATCTCAAAAAGAATTCACTGCTTTATTAAGTTTTAGATTACCTTTTTTTGTTGTATGTTCTAACATGAACAAATATTTTGTTTTATAATTAGCATTACATGCTCATGCCCTATTGTGGTGTAGGTTTCCACCAGAATTGCTCAGAAAGCTGAGCTCCGAGTGCCTTGCAATGGAAAACCATAGAGTACGTGTATTAAGATAATGAATTTTCTATTCAGATTTTTATTTCTCAATGTTTTTTTGTGGCACCTGTTCAATCATTTTTTCCTCCAATATTTTTTTGTGATCATATGAGCTATATACATAAAAATGCTAGTTGATGTGCTTTACAATCAAAATTTTGTATTAGTATACGAACATAAACTATTTTCACTTATAACTTAACATTTCTTACTTGATGTGCTAACAATAATTGACAAAAAGGAAGGGCTTTCACCAAGAAGGTTGCAAGCGAATGATGCACTCTCAAGTTTCTTCAAGATATTGACAACTAGCACGGATGAAAATAATGAGGTCTGATGGTGTTTAAAGAAATTCTTGTTTCTAGGCCTTTTTTATTTTTTATTTTTTGCAGTTACTTTATCGTATCAAGTAATTTGTCGAAATGATCCGCTAACTCTTCGAGGGATCATCTTAGTCGCAGAGTTTATAAAAATATCAATCAAGTCCCTAGAATCTTTAATAACGGTTGAAATAGTCCTCAGTGAGGACTATTTTAGCCCCCATTAAATTACTCTAGGGTATAATTTGACAATTCTTAAATTCTGAGATTAAAATCGCACAATCTGAATAGTCAGGAGTCTAGTTTGACACTTGTCTATTTTTTGTATCTGAGGTATTTGTTTTCATGATATTTCTCCTTTTTCTAGGTGTACGTATCAACTGCAAAAGCCTATAACTACCCGATTACTTGTTTCCAGTGGCATCCTGAGGTATTCATTAATATGATTAAACAGTATCCAGTAAAATCCTTTAAAGCTTTCATTTTGTTATTGTTGGTATGGGGAAGTTGACTCCCTTTCAAAGCCTGTCTAGTCTTTTGTGCTCCATTATGGTACTGTAAAATGGAGTAAAACATGTAGTAAAAATGGCCTTAGCAATAGTCTGCAGCACCCCTTGGAAATTCTTAACACCGGATTTGCAACAAAAAATCATTTTATTGCTGTGCTTTTATTTCAATTCTATAATGCTTGTTTGATGGTACATATTATTTGTATTTCAAATAGCAACCAAATATAGCATAAACTAAACATCATATTAAACGTTTATGTTTTATCTCTTTTAAACGTTTATGTTCGTGATATTTATTGCATTTGTATTATCTCCAATTAGGTTTTGCGAAAGCCACTTTTTTTCTATAATTGGAAGCAGCTGGCAGCAATGGGTTTTGCATCCTTCGGCTCCTGCTACTGGAAGCCTAGCCGAACAGTATAGGGGTTAAGGGAGGATGTAAGAGAGAAGAAAAGCAATAAGAAAAATAAATGGGAGATTTGTAGTTGAATTTACTATATATGTCAAAGTCTTTAAATATTTAATGAGGACGTGGTTAAGATCTAATCCACTCTTGAAGAAATCCCAAATAAAAATAAAATCCTTTTTGCTGGCAGTTAATTGGACTATCTCAAACTAAAAGATAATTCTAACAAAAATTATTTAGTACTGAATTAAAAGTTAAAAACAAGCTTATCCAAAAAGTTTAAAATTTAAACTCATTGATATCCTGTTCTATCTGAATTATAATCCAATGGTCTGACTTTTGGACTCCAGGCAATATCCTCTTCAATCCCAATAATGTGATCTGAGAATCACCTCTGTCAATAATCTTGATCAAGAAATCAGACGTTCCGAATTAACTGATCCTATCTCTTGATCCCCTCATGATCTGATGCCCAGAGTGATGTCTCTTCTTGTAGTCTTCTTTGAAGTGAAAGTTCAGTTTGGCTATTCCCTTGATCCGATTCCCAAATCAATAGCAGGCATCGTGTTTGCTTATTATTCTTGATATATGAGTATCATCACCTATTGATTTACTATTAAATTTTAGGGCATTCACATACATACTACAGAATTTTAATGTATTTACATATCTAAAACCTAAACTTTCACATTTATGACACTCAAAAACTTTGAAGTCACATAAACAGTACCACCATTATTAACTTTTTACAAGTGAAATACACATTTTCATTCATAGGTTTATGATACGGAAGTTTTGTAAGTGTAAATATCAAACCTCAGGTGTTAAATATGTAAATTTATAGGAATTTTGTGGTATGTATGTAAATTTCTCTTAAATTTTCTATCTTTCTATCAATAATCCTCCTACACAGCAAAGGGGGCAGAGTGGAAGATTACAGCGTGGTATAAACGGTTTCTGACAGCAAAGCTTATTGGCCACTGCAGAAAAATGCCTTTGAGTGGGGATCGTCTATGATTCCACATACTGAAGATGCAGTTCGAGTTACTCAACTGTTGGCGAACTACTTCATAAGGTATGGAGCGTTGCAAGTTTCTTTATTATTTCATGGTTTTGTTTCACTCTTATTTTTTGGTTTTTTTCTTTTACATTTCTGTTTGGAGTACAAGAAATATTTTCCTGTCCATTTGGTTGCTGGTAAATTGAGGGAAAATTACGCTGCTTTAGAACATTAAGTACTAAAATGGAGGCAACATCATTTTAGCATGGGCTATTATATTGACAATTGCTTATTACTTGAAAGTACAAAGCTTGAGGAATAAGATGCAAAGGATGATAAGGCTTTGTTTTGTAATAACTGAAAAAATAAAATAAAAAGTTATAAAGGAAAATGAATTTTTACGGCTTTGTGTCAATTCGAATCAATCGTTTTCTAGACTGTTTATTCTTAAGTATCGCTCAAACTGGGGGAAAGAAATGGAAGAGAGAGCGAGCGACAGAGATAAAGAAGAAGAAGAAGGAGAGGTCGTGTGTTTCTTTTACCAGAGACTCGACGCCATTTGCAAAAGTCAACATCAACTGCTTCGTGCGTAAAGGAGATGAGAAGCGACGAAGCAAGCAGGAACGTGAGGTTGCCCGAGGAGCTAGGGCAGAAGCTAGAATAAAGACGACTTAGACAGCGAGCTTGCGCATCGTCAGTGCCTCGGCTTCGAGCAGAGAATGCGTAGGAGGGACGCTAGTGAGAATGCCAAACTTGCAGGTTGGACGACGAAAATTGCATCCCGCACGAGAGGGAGCCGAAGGGAAGAAGAGTTGCTTGTGGGTGAGGATTCTCGTGAGCGGCTCAAGTGTGTTTGATGTTGCCTGCGATCGAAAGAAGAAAAGAAAGAAGGGCGAGCCTTGCTTGTGTTCTATGTGGAGTCTAAATCAAGAGGATATAGATAAAAGGTAAGGGTTTTATTTTGTGTGGTTTAATTTTTTTAGATTCATTAATTAATTTAAAGTGTATTAATTCTTAAAATTAAATTTTATTAAATCAGAATTAAGAGATGGGCTGATTTGGTATCGATGGAGGAGAGTAACCTTTGTGCAATCGATGAAAAGACGAGAGGGATCTCTTGAACAAACCTTTTTGCGGTCTAGGCAAATTAGAGCCTTTGCTAGAACAGAAGAAATAATCAAGCTCATGCTAAGATAGTTTTAAGTAATTTTTTTTATATATTGACTATCAAAATGAAGTTAATTAGGATTTATATTAAAAGATAAAATGATAATAAAAAGTTTAATGCTTAAATAATGTAATATTAATAATATAATAAATTAATATAAATAAACAAGTAAATATCAATTTACAAAAATTAAATAATATTATTAAATCTTAGTAATAAGAATATATATGTTTACTTTAAGCATCAATTTTGAAGGGTCTGAGGTTAAAAGCAAATCAAAGGACAAATCAATCTACATCAAGGTGAGTGCATTTACTTTTAAGTTATATTAGATTTTTTTTCTTATAAATTAAATTCATTGATTGTTATTGAAACATGATTACACTATTTTACTGTGATTTATATGATATTTTAGATGTTGGCCATATCATTGTGATGAATATATATTTTTAGAGATACTAATGTTATGCATTATTTAAAGGTAAAATTGAATGAAAAAGAACATATGAATGATATGAGCTGTATAGTCAGACTGTATGTGTATGTTTGATAATGATGAAGTTTACTTTTTTATAGTACTACTAGCGTAAAAAACGTTAAGGTACTCGTGTATGTAAATAAAAAAAGATATTGATATTGATGTATCATCATTAGTTTGATTTTAGACAAATGCTCCTGTTCCGGTTGTACATATATAAAATGATATGAACATGTTACTGATATAGCAAAACGTATTGAATGTTATGAACTATCATGAACAATTATGTTTGAAAAAATAATTTGTCAAATGCTTTATAATATTTCTAACAAGCATACATGACGTTATTTTTTCGTTGTATTACTGTAGTTTAGAAATAGATATACCCATTGACTTTTGTAGCTCATTGTTGTTTTAAATTAATATTTCAGGTTGAATTATTTGATTAAAAAAATGAATAATAGAGGAAATGTTTATAGAAGCGGGGACAACCTAAATTAAAATAAATTTAATTGTATTACTCTAATTTATATTTAGCGACTCTTTCATTTTATTTGGATTATAAATTGTTACTCTTTCATTTTATTTGGATTATAAATTGTTAGTTATAGAAAATATTGATTATCACTGTCCAACTGTCTGTTCCCTCATTAATTAATTTTAAGTCCCAGGTCGGGTCGTGACATATTTTAGATTAAAATTGTAAGGTCGTGACATATTTTAGATTAAAATTGTAACTTATGTACTATTAAATTGATAAAATGTTTTATGAGTCAACGTTATGTGTGTAAAGGGTAACTATTTCTTTCATTAGGGAGACTAGGCTGTCGTTAAGCCTAACTTGGTGACGCCCATCTATTCAAGACATAATAATAGTTGATGATCATTTGGAAGTAGAACTTTTTCTATTATGTTTGATTGGTTCAACTTAATGTATTTCGATTCAAAAAAATTCCTCAATTCTAAATCACATCAATTAAGTTGATTTTGACTTATCAAATCTAAATTAAAACGATTGAGTTAGTTGGTTTGATTCAGAATTTTGAATCAAACATTATCTTAACAGTCCCTTATTTTAAGTCAAATATTACCCTCTTAGACTGACATGTAAAATTCTTCCCCATAAGCTTGCAATGTCTCAAATTTTCAACCACTGGTCCAGCCTTATAGTAATATATAAAAGACAAAGTGATTACCTGATATGCAATTATAGTGAGTTTGAAAATGATATTTATGCATTAATGTAATTATGAGATTTGAGTGATATTTTGATGTGATTGCTTTAGTAATATGAATTTACTATTAGAAAAAATAGTGATATTGATGAAAATTCGAAAACTGTTTATAGGTATATGGTACTTTGTAAGATCAGTTATGCTACATGCTTCTAGCTATTAGGCAAACATCAAGTCACTAACACCGGATCTGAGTTTGATGAAAATAAGAATTTTAAGATGTAAGTAACAACAATTGATGATAAGACAGTGATAAATAAAATGAATGATTTTGATATATATAATGTTAGAAGTTATATTACGAAATAATTTATTTCTGTTAGAAGTTATGAGACAAACTTATTTCTTTGGGTTGGAATTATTTTTTTTCTTAATTTATGCTTTGTGTTGTTTCTTTTATCTCCAAGTAATTAATATGAGTTGATTAATTGAAGATATATGTATTATATCTTTCCTTTCCTGCTTTTTCTTTTTTATTATTTTTTTTATTCTAAGATTCATATAAGGATTATTTATACCCCCAATTTCATATCAATAATATCATTTCGCATTATTCTGAATTTCAATATGATATCGAAAAAAACCCTAGAGTCTCCTGCCGCTAAAAACTTCTTATTCTTTGCAGCCGACAATCTTTGTCGTTCTGCAACCCTAGAGTCTCCTGCCGCTAAAAACTTCTTATTCCTTGCAGTGCCCTTCCTAGGATTGAAGCCTAGCTGTTGCCGGGGCATTTACTTAGCCGTCAACATCTTCCCTGCAGTTTTTCTTCTGCCGCCGCACTCCCTGCAGGTTTTTTTTTTGTCGACGGCCCCCCTCCTTCTTCCCTGTAGATTCTCGCGCCAATTCCCTGCAGTTTTTCTTCTGTCGTTCAGCTGTCAGCTTCCCTGCATGCTTTTCTTCAGCCGAGTCCCTGAGGGTTCAGTGTTCCCTTCCAGACTTCACCTGTCCACAAACAGTTGCCTTCTCATCCAGTTTATCTCTACCGCTGTCTTCACCACCAAATTTCACTAATGGAACTGCTCAATTTCTGTTACAGCCTACATCTGTTGTAGAGGAAACTATTGAATCACCTTATGTACTCTTCTCTGCTCATAAGATTTTGATATATCAAGCTTGCAATTTGGAGCTTTGGTCTATTGGAAGGGAGATAATCCCTAAACCTCAAGTTCATTGCGACGCTCATCGTTGTCAAAATTGCGGTGTTTATCCAAACGTTTATTCAGAAGTTTTAATCGGTTCTAGTCAGTGGAAATGTGTAATATGTAAGAAATTAAATAACAACAATGACGAACACATTGCTGCTAGCAAGGAAGACCTCCATCACTGGTCGGAACTATCTTCTTCCACAATTGATTATGTTCAGTCTTGAAACCGAAGTCCCGGATACATTCCAGATTCAGACGAGAATGTCCGCTCTTGTATTTTTCGTCATGGATGAGGGTTGGCATCTATTATAGGAGTTATTTCATACATTGGCCTTCCTCCGTCCTCCTTTACTGCCGAACTTGCCTTGTAGCCGACCCCTCCAGAATTCTCCGTGCAGTAGGCCTTTCTTTGGAGATTTTTCTGCAACAGACCCTCCTCTGGAGTTTTCTTTAATCAGATCCTCTGTAGTTTTTTCCTATATCAAGCCCCCCTCTGGAGTTTTTCCTGCTGCAAGTCCTCCATCGGAATTTTTCATGCAACATACCCTCTTTCGGTGAATTTTCTTGCATCAGGCCCCCAGAACTTTTTCCTGAATTAGGCCCTCCTCATGAGCTTTTCTTACAGTAAGTCTTCCACCGGAGTTCTTGCTGTAGCGGGCCGTCCTTCATAGCCTTTTCCTACATCATGCTTTTTTTTTGAACTTTTTCCTGTATCAGTCCCTTCTCCAGTGTTTTTTTTGCAGCAGGTCCTCCACCGGAATTCTTTCTGAAGCATGCCATCCTTCGGAGCCTTTCCTTGAATCAGGTGCTCCTCCGAAACTTATTCTATATCAGACCCTCCTCCAGAGCTTTTTCTTCAGCAGGTCCTCCATCGGAATTATTCCATCAGCAGACCCTCTTCTAGAGCCTTTTTTACATCAGGCCCTCTAAAACATTTTGTCCTCCACCAGGATTTTTCCTATAATAGACACTCCTCCAAAGCCTTTTCCTGCATCAGACCCTACTCTGGAACTTTTTCCTGCATCAGGCCCTCCTTTAGAATCTTTTCTACAGTAGACCCTCTGGAGCTTTTCTTGCAGCTGACTCTCCTCTGAAGCCTTTTTTTGTATCAAGCCCTCCTTCAGAGCTTTTCTTGCAGCATGGCCTACCTCCAGAGCTTTTCCTTTTCTTTTTTCAGGCCACATCCGACAACTTTTCCAATTGGTTGTCTACTTCCCTGCAAGCTTACCTGCAATATTACTTTTAGAAATCTTCCATCTACTTACAAACATCGCAAAAGCTGCAGTCAGACAACCGCAATCAACTAAATATCCTTGGGCTTGATTACTAAGTACGGGATGAAGACGTCAAGTTCTACCTCACAAATAATATTCTTTGCTCATTGTTTGATGTTTTCAATTCCAAGTGAAACATGATTTTCAACCATGTTCCAACTTGAACGGATGTGTTAGAAGTTATAATAGGAAAGAATTTATTCCCATTAGAAATTATGAGGATTAAATTTACTTACTTAGATTGGAATTATTTCTTTTCCTATTTTATGATTTATGTTGTTTCATATATCTCCAAGTAATTAATATGAATTGATTATATTGAGATATATGTATTATATATTTTCTTTTATGTTATTTTCTTTTTATCGTATTTCCTTTTCTTGGATTCATGTAAGGATTATTTATAATCCCATTTCATATCAATAGTATCATTCTTCATTATTCTGAATTTCAACATATAATGTAGGACAAAAATGCACTAATAAGGCGGACACAAGAAAATAATATAAATTTGTTAAAAGGTAGAAGAGATGGAGAAGTCAAGTTGACTTGAAATTGACATAAAAAATTTGTTCCAAATAAAGTTAGTGACATTTGCATACATAGCACATAATCTTAGGTATTTACATATCTCACACCTAAATTGTTATATTTACACACATAACACTCAAATCTCACATCAAAAATAGCACTGCTACTACATTTTAAAAGTGGAATACACTTTTTCATTCATAGATTTAAACCACCGAAGTGCAATATATGTAAATAAGGAAGTTTAGGTGTGAGATATGTAGATACATAAGAATTGTGTGATAGGCATGTAAATTTCCGCTAAAATAAACATCTCACAGAAATCAAATATAAACAAATGAAGGGGTGGCGGATTCATAAATTGATGTGAAATAATCGGGATTTGCCTATTGATGATGATGATGATGATGAACCTAAAGCCGAGCCAAAAAATGGTCGAGCTAGGTTGGTCTATTGTGAACCATCCAATAATCTAGAATGGTGCAACTGTATCCTGCTTGCTGATCAGATTTAAAAAGTCAAAAGATATGTTATGGATTTGTGCTTTAGCCATTAGCTGCCTCTTTCTCATTTTCTTTCCCTTCAATTTAAAGGGTTGAGAGTTGAGACTGTGCCACTATGATACTATTTCAAAGGAGTTTGTCAAACAGCATTTCTGTTGCTGATTTTCCTATATCTGTGACTTCAATATAAGATTTATTTCATTTTAATTTTGAAAGTTTTACATACCTACCACTCAATTCCTTCCTATGTAATTACATATCTAACAGCTAAACTTCAATTTTTACATATATGCTATATTATGCATGAGAAGATGCATTTTAACTTCTTAAAAGTTAGAATGATTGTATTTTAATGGTCATATGTTTGATGTGATTTGAAAGATTTGGGTTGTACATATGTGAAAAGAAAGTTTGGGTTTTAGATGTTCAATTACATAGGAATTGCATCGTATGTGCATGAGTTCAGAACCTACTAATATATCTCATTCAAATTAGGAATGATATTTCCATTTTCAAAGATTTAGGAAATCATTGATCCAAACTTCCTTTTTTTTGTTAAAAAAAAAAAAAAACCTGGAACAGCGAGGCTCGAAAATCTCCGAAAAGGCCTCCAGCACAAAAGGTTCGAGACAATCTTATTTACAACTACAACCCAACATATGGTGGTAAAGCTGGGTATGTTATTTTTTTTCTTATTTTTAAATCTTGTTTTGGATACTTCTTATACTGATATTTTTGACATTTTGAATTTTTTAATATATCTTTTCTTATTTTGTTTTTTACAGAAAGGGCTTCGATCAAGTTTACAATTTTGATGAGAGTTACACTGCATAATATCTGATAAGCAATAGAATTTACATGAAGGCTTACTGGAGTGTTACATGGCCTGGTCAATCTATTGTGTTTAGACTTGCTCTACCATTTATCAATGATGTGTTAGCATTATTACATGCAAAATTTGTACTTTCATCAATAAAAATGAATATTTTTCCTTTACATTTTGCATCTTGAGCTATAAAAATGAATGATAAGTTCTCTTTTGTTATGCTACCATCAGTTCTTTGCAAATTGATATAATTTTTTTTCAATGATGCTAGAGTTGATGAGAATGGTGAAGTTATTGTGATAATATAAGAAGATGAAGACTAGGTGCGACCGAAGAGAGATTTTGATTGCTTAGAATGCTTAGAGAGTGTGTTTTGTTTGCAATACTAACAAACTAACAACTAAAATATTTAAGAGTATTTGTTTTGTGAAAATTTAAGTTGCCATCATCATGCAATTATAATCTGTCATATATATATATATA